GGTAGGAATGTGAATATGCGATAGCGTCCCTTTTCATATCTATTGGTTTAGTCTATGGAAAAAACATATATGAAAACCCACGCTCTAGGCATTGATGAGTTAATTGCGTAATTTTCGTCCTTTTTACTTTTTGGTTTATTATATAAATTATATTTCAAAAGTTTTGGACAAAATTTGGGGTATTCTATTATTTAATAACCCTCCGATTCGAACGCATGATAACTTTGTATACTCGCACGCTTTAATCGAATAATAATTAAATAGGAGCAGTTGTCATACCCCAAATTTGCCCATCCTATTTGTAATAGTCAAATTATTTTTAACTTGGGCTTTACAAAAATTTTGGTTTATTTATACTAATATTTTAATATTAATTTATTTTGCTTTACTTTAAACTATTTGTATAGAAAATATTTTTCCACTCTTCGTATGCTTTCAAGTGGCTTCTTATTACAAATAAATAATGCAACTCAATTGGTAAGGACATAAGACTTGCAAGCATAATGTCACGGTTTTGAGTCTTACTTGTCCTACATTTTTAACATTTTTTTGTTATTGGTTACTTATTTTATTTCCATTTTTAGAATCACAAAGTCACATTTTTTGTTATTTAATTTCAATTTTCGTTTTTCTATTTTATGTATTTTTTAAATAATTTTTTTATTTATTTTATGCATTTTTCATCAAAAAATCATAAAAAAATTAAATCTTTTCAGCTTGCTTTCTATTGATCGTCCTACGTCACACTAACTTTTGATTTGTCAACTTCCTCAATAACAAATCATTTTTTCCTTTTTTGTTTACCTAATTTTCAACATAAATAGATCAACATTTTTCATCTTTCTTGGACAAACATTTTTTTCTACGCAATTTCTTTTGTTGATTTATTTTAAGATTTTTCCTTAAATAGACACTTAACCCTGTTTTTGTCTTGATCAAACAATTATACATAATCATCAACAATTTCACTATGCATTCACAATTCACACTTTCTGTTCAAAATTTATTTTCAAACTATTGGTGATATTTTTCTATCTTGCCAAATAATTTTCATATGAGACAACTCTTTATTTTCAATTTCATCTTTATTTTTATTTCACCATTTTCAACCACATAAAGATCTCTTTCTTAAGGTTGTGCTTTTTCTTCTAATTTTTTTATGATACTAACACATTGAGACCAATTTCTATTCACTTTTCACGATACACATTCACAATTTGAATTTTGTCTCAATATGCCACATTTTTGAAATGAATTTCTCAAAATGCCACAGTCTGAAAAAAATTGCTCAAAATGCCACACCCAGAGGAGGTTCACGCTATTTGAAATGGCGTGGATGTGGGCAGCAAGGGCTCACGCCAAATCAAATGGCGTGAAAGGCCTGATTAATTTTTTTTCTTCATTTTCTTGCATTTATGTTATTTATTTTAATAAGTTTAATTATTTAATTTTATTATTAATTACAAATAATTTAATAAACTATTTAGTTATAAAATTAATTAATAAAATGTTAATTTAAAAACTTAAATAATTATAAACTTAAAAATACTATTTAACAATTATAATTAAATAATAAATTTTTTTATTAAATAATAAAATATCACAATTACAATCAAAATACTAAATAAAAAAATACAGTTAAAATTTCACAATTACACTATTTAATGTTGATGACCCGGTCCGGAACGAGTACCGATAAAACAATAACGTGGTCGCAGAGCACGATGACCAAAACCATATTGTTGTTCGGTCTCTGTTGTTGGAGGATTTTGTTGTGTTGCATCTGATGTTGGAGGATTTTCTTGACTGGGAGCTGTAGCTTGCGGAGGAGACCAAATGCTTTCCAGTAAATCATAATCACTGACGTTAAGATCCTCGCCAAAATTATATTGCGGTTGTTGTGGCGGACACATGGAGGAATCGAAATTTGGTCGCATGATGGGTGTGAATTGTGTAGTTGGCCTATTATAAATTTGTGGTTGTTGGGATTCATAAATGTAATTTGGTTGGGAGTGAGATTGCGGGTATTAGGTGTTAAATGTTTGATTTTGGTAAAAATAAGGGGCAGGAGTTTGTAGTTGAGAAAAATGAGGGTTAGAAGTTTGTTGTTCAGGATAATGGGGGATGGTTGTTTGATGTTGGGGAAAGTGAGGAGTTTGTTGTTGGAAGGATTGGGGATGAGGAGGTTGAGAATGTTGTGAGTGGTGAGGTTGTTGAGAGCCACTTGCCTGAGTAGGGGCATATTGGTTTTGACGAGGGTCAGTGAGAAATTGTTCGTACGATGCATATCTATGTGGAAGCGAGTGATACCATTGCATGTACTCATTTGACGGTTTCTCCTCTATTTGTAATTGATCTCCATCCAACATAAACAATTCTCGATGCAACCAACAGTTTTGTTCATCAGAGTATAATGTGGTATATGCTTTTTGACGCGCTTTTATTGTTGTCATCTTATGGTGTTCAGCCAGGCATCGAGGTTCTTCAGGTATCCCTTGTAAATGGCCAAATTGTAGTTTGACCCTATCTGCTTGATGCATTTCTACAATATGAAAACATATTATATACGTAGTTGAACTCCATATCAAACTGTCCTCGTGCCTTTCGGGCGCTAATCCAAGATACGGCCTCCAAATAAACTGAAAAGTTATAGATAAAACTTCTTAGTTTAACCAAAATAAAATTCATAAATTTATAAGAAGTATTAAAGTGAAGACAAAAAAAACTTGATCTTGAAGCATGTGATCAATCCTAAATCGGTATCCTTGTAGATGGTGGTGCGGGTTGTTTTGGTAGTCAAGTTTCTTGATGCACCACCTAAAAAGAATTTAAAATTAAACTTTATTTTAAAGTATCCTAACAATTTTAATTATAAATTTAAATTTAAATTTAAATATTACCTTCTTGCGTAAGGATATGGAGCTTGAAGCGGAGCCACCGGAGATATTATAGGCATACGTGTAAAAGCCCAAGCTTGAAGAAGTAAAACGCATCCTGGCATCTCTGTTACTTTTATGTCTACAGACTTGCACATTTCCCTATATAGATTTGGCTAAAACGGTGGAACCCCAACTCAATTTTCCACAATCTTCCAAATCCACAACAAATTGTGTCCATTTTGAGTGTATAGTATTACCGCTTTTGTTATGAAACAAAACTTGCCCGATAAGGAGTAAGATATAAATACGAGCATGCTTAATTTTATACTCCTCAGGTGACTCCTCGGTTGGTGGTTCATGTTGGTACATGTCTTTAAGCCATGTCAACCTCGCAATCATTCCCTTATCGCTTTGTGGTGGTTCATCCTCTAAAATAGAACTTCATGCACCACCACCTAGCTCGGATGGACCATTTACTACTTTACCATCTACAGGAAGCCCCAATAACATACTCACATCTTCCAATGTAATTGTGCATTCATTGTTTGGAAAATGAAATGTATGAGTTCCGGGTCTCCACCGTTCCAGTAAGGCTATAATTAACCTATAATTAACCTGGCTGTTGCACAAGATGAGAATGATAACATTTTCCCAATCGCATATGCATTGGTCGAAGGTGAGACCAGGGGGCTTGGAGTTTCTTTCTGAAAAATTTGAGACTCCACGTCACACCCCAATCAGACTTATGTTTGATATCTGATCGACACGAGTCCATTAAGAGTGCCTACAATAACCCGGATAATGGCTGACAGAACCCACCCTCGGTGCATGTGTATTGCATTAGGCACATCGCACAAAACTTCATGCGAGCCATCAAGGACAAAAACCTTCGCAAGACAGTTGTTAACATGGGTAATTACTCTCTAATTTTTAACATGGCATTTCAATATATAGTTCTTTTATATTAATATTTTTAATGCTTTTACGCAGGGTATGCAATTAATGAGTCTACATACGCATATTATCGGGATGAGATCCACCAAACAAACACATAGGCTTTTAATTGGATAGAGAACCTTCCAAGAGAAAAATGGTCGCGAGCTTACGACGGAGGAGCACGATGGGGCCACATGACAACCAACCTTGTTGAATCTTTGAACTCAGTATTGAAGGAAACCCGAAACATACCTATTACATCACTTGTAAGATCAACATACTACCGGATGGGAACATTGTGGGGTAAGCGAAGAAAGGATTGGACAAAAAATTTGTCATCGGGAAAGGAATTCACAAATAACTGCATGAAAGGAATTGCAGAAGAAGTAGAAAAATTCCACAGTTATAATGTCTTGGCTTTTGACCGTGAAAGTCACTATTTCGTGGTTCAGGAGACGGTTAATAATAAGAATTGTCGGCCACTTACTCATTTCAACGTCAACCTCCAAACACGAACTTGTGACTGTGGGAGATTTCAAACTTTTTATCTGCCTTGCTCACATGCTATCGCAGCGTGTTCTCACATAAAGTTTACATACAAAGTTTCATCGGTGTTTCCCAAGAAGATAGTTGGCCTCCATATTTGGGCGATACTATTTTGCATGATGAAAGGATGCGACGAAACAAAAAAAGTCGCCCAAACAGTACTCGCATTAGAACTGAAATGGACACTGTTGAGAAAATAAAAAGACGATGCGATATCTGTCAACAACCACATATGCGGAAAAAATATCTGCATCGCCTCAAACAATGCAGGCCCTTCTAACTAATTGTATCCATATATTGTTATTTATAACTACTTTTAACTGTATTTTTTTATTTAATATTTTGATTGTAATTGTGATATTTTATTATTTAATATAAAAAAATTATTTAATTGTAATTGTTAAATAGTTATTTTAAGTTTATAATTATTTAAGTTTTTAAATTAATATTTTATTAATTAATTTTATAACTAAATAGTTTATTAAATTATTTGTAATTAATAATAAAATTAAATAATTAAAATTATTAATATAAATAACATAAATGCAAGAAAACGAAGAAAAAAAATTAATCAGGTCTTTCACGCCATTTGATTTGGCGTGAACCTTTGCTGCCCACATTCGCGCCATTTCAAATAACATGAACCCCTCTGGGCAGTTTTGTTTGGACCGTGGCATTTTGAGAAATTCATTTAAAAAATATGGCATAAATATGGCATATTGGGAAAAAATTCCTCACAATTTCACACACCGATTCACAACACGGTACAAAATCCATGTTTTGCAAAACCCTTTGTTTTCTCACAATGTCTATTCAATAACAATTAACCAACTCTTCATTCACACACGGTTCACACGCATACTCAAAATAACCATCTACCTTGTACATAACCTTTTTCATCTGGAAAAGCCTTTTCTTTCTTTTTTTTCTCAATAATTAATTTCCTATTACCCGTACGAACCACCACAACTTCCCTCTCATGTTGTTTTTACAGTATCATCATCATCATCATCATCCTAATTCAACTACCTTCAAACCTACAAAAAACAATCTCTAACCTTCATATCCATTAATATAACAAGCATAACCATTAACCCATTTAACCGAATTTCCAAACTCAAAAAGATCACATTGCCAAGTTCACCACAAATTCTATTCAAAGCATAAACAAGTCAGTACCAACAAACAAGAATTTGAAAGCTTCAAAATCAAGCAAAAATGAAAAGCAGAAGAAACAAATAACAAGAAAGTTGTGAAAGTGAGCAGAGAAGGAAATAATTGAATCCACAAACGGCCACGGATTGCTCTCCTCCAGATCTCGCAACCTCACGACGACTTGACCGCGGCGGAGTTCCCAGCACAAATGTCGTTCATTAGCAGCCCAGTGATTTCGACGATCCTCCCCGTGTTTCAGCACCACTGCTCCGACTCCGCAAGCAGCGGATCCACACTCAACCGAGGCCCACCACGCAATAGAACTGCCGCCAGAAACAGACACCTTGATTAGCCGCCCCGACTACCTTCCCGGATCCGGCCGCCGCACCTATTTCCACCATCGTCCGCTATGAATCGCAAGGCTCCCACCGCCCTGCTCAGCCGCTGCCACTGCCCTGTAGCAGCCCTTCGTGTCCGCCGGCCACCAGCATTCAGAAGGAGGTGAGTTTGTCTCTTTTGCCATTTGTTATACATGTATTTTTTTTGGGCTTGTTGATTGATTTAATCTGATGAAGAAAGAATTGAATTCGATGAACTTTAGAAAAATGGGTTGAGAGAAACTGTTGGGAGAAGAAGAAGAGAATACGATACTGAGTCTCTCCATCCCTCTCTCTCTTTGTTATACATTAATTGTTTATAATTCTTTTTATTTCAATTAATAAATCAGCCGCCATGTGTTAAGTTGTTAGTGGACAAAGGTTTTAATTGGAAAAAAACTCTAACATGGACATGGTGGAGTGCGGCTCCTGTACGATCCACAAACCATTTCCCTTTTTTTTTTAAAATTTATTTATTATTTATTTATTTATTTATTTATTTATTTATTTATTTCTCTTTTATTTAATAATTAGAAATTTAGGTCTTTGTTAAAGTGGGATTTTTTTTACACAAGTCAAAGTGGGATTTAGATCTCCTTGGGCCCTCTTTCTTCTTTCACATCTAATTTCCTTTTACACGCCCAGTGTTCTTTTTTACTAGCTCTTCAGTCACTTATTTTCCTTTTTTTTAGTTAATGTTAAATATATACAAAAAAACAATAAAAATAACTTATACAAAAAATCAAACTTTTCATTATCAAACTTTTTTTTTAAATCAAATTAATTCAACATTCTTATAAGTAATAGGATATGTGGATTTTACATCAACTACATCATTGAATAATCGATTGATTGACTTAACGTCTTGTTAATTAATTATTCAAATCAAAACAATTAAAACTCATCAATCAGTCAAATCAATTACTTCACCTAGCGTGATTTAATTCAAATGAAAATCAACTTTTCTTCAATCAACCAAATCAAACTTAAAACAGTTAACCAACAAAAAACCTTTTTTCTACTAACTTAACAAAAATTCAAGATTATTTTAAACAAAGGATTAAATAGAATTGCTATCAAACTTAACTGGGAACTGCGTCTACGACCACTCTTTTTAAACTCAGACAAGGTTCAAGGATAATTTAAAAGCAATTCTACGTAATTCAATAAAAAAACTAACCAGACACATGCGCACTACAAAATTGGACTTTGATTCTTCACAAGGAGATACGTAGGCACGCAATTAAAACCAAGGTGAGTCCCATAACTAAAAAATTAAACATTATCTTAAATACATGGAAATAATAACTATTTAAATATAAATTCTAGATTTACCCTAAAACCTAGAAGTGGAGCCCCTTGAGAACAAGGGAGATGAAGGGTGCCTAACATCTTCCTTTTATCTAACTGATTCATGAATTTAGAATCTCTAATAAAATTAAGGTTATCTATTCTTTTTCGTCCTTAGGAAAAAAAAGTAGTGGTGGCGACACTCTTATTTTTTGCCGGTTACGATGGTGGGTCCTCAGTGGATTTCTTAGACTTCTGATTCTCCAAGAATTGAATATCATCATGATCAGCGTCGATCGAGTTGGGGGACGCAGTTCGACCATCTCTGGTTTCAGGGATATCCTCGATGTGATACGGTGGGAGAACTGACTTGGTTGTTTTGCGTTTGATCGTAAATGTTGCGGTTTAGCAAGAGTCACCACCGACTTTTCTTTTATCCAAAAGGAAAGGCTGAAAAGAGCAGGAAAGACCTTTGAGATGTTTTCTTGAGTTCGGGGGTAGATTATGAAAAGGGAAGGTGTTAGCACCCTTTTCATCCATGGTTTTCCATGTGCTCTTAGTTACTTGCTAGATCACTTGCTTTTGTTTGAAAAATATGATTTGTGTGGTTTTTGAAAGTATTTTGAAAATGCGTCATCGTTTAGGCAAACTTTGTAATGATTCTCGTTCATAAGAATGTATACCAAGTGTTGATCTTTTGAAAGATTTTTTCAAGTTTGAAAGATGTTTTTGAAAGTGTTGGTGTTTGTTTTGAAAATAGCAAGGATGTTTTTGGTTTTGAAATTGAGCAAGCAACTAGGAACAATCTACCTACTCAAAATTCTTTCATGTTTATTTCCTCTTTCCTTTGACATTGTTATCTTACCATTGATTTGGTAAGTAACCCTATCTTTGGATGTAAAAGGGATGGGCAATGGTCATCGTATAGCCATGATTAGCAATGTTGTAAGATATCTTAGCATTTTCTTTAGGGACTAAGATCATTTTGAAAGGCAACATGGATAGCGTCATCGAGGGACTATGCTCTTGTATTTTATTTGTTTTGGCTAAGATATCCCACATGCATAATATGGTCATTTTATAAGGCAACAAAGTGGATTTACCCTAAGGGCGTATGTGTGCAAGTGTATTGGTTTACATGCTTGATTTGTCTTGATTAGGGTTTGCTATTTATTGGTTTTAATCTTTCCATACAAACCCTAATTACTAGCATTTGTATATAAAGCGATAAATAGCGGAAAATAAAAATAATAAGTCATTACATCCTTTAGGGGAGGGGGTATACAAATTATAAATGGGGAATTGTAAGAAAATTAAATCTAAATAATTATTACAACCATATTGAATATTGTACAAAAAATGAATAAATAAAAATGCAAGAAAGTAAATGTAAAAAGAAATAATTTTTGTTTGATTTTTTATGAAAGAGTTTTAATCTTGACCTAATTAAGAAAATAATTAATTAAAAGTAAACAAAACAACTTAAACATAAATTAATTAAGAAAGAAATTAGGTTAAAAAGTATTTTTAGGTTTTTTTTTATTAAAATGTTTTAAATTAATAATAATTATAATGAAAATTAATTAATTAAAAGAAAACATAAGCTCTAAATTTATTTTAATTTACAAGAGAATAATATAATAATTAAACCTAATTATCTAAATATTAATTAAAAAAAAATAATTTATTAAAAGAAAATGTTTTTGTTCTTTTGTTTTATGAAGAAAATAAAACATATAAGTGTAAATAATAAAATAAAAATGTTTTTAATATTTTTTTAATAAAAATAAGAGAAATAAAAAAATGATAAAGAAAAAAATATAATAAGAAAATGAAAAAATAAATAATAAAAATAAAATGAAATAATAAAAGTTGGGCTAGGCTGCATAAGTAAACAGGGGGTTAAAGTGAAACCATTTGATAAATATCATAAGCTATAAATCAAAGATGAATGAGAATTTCTAAAAGTACCAAATTCTGACCTAAATATTTCAGAAAGTTCAAACTCAAAATTCTCCTAGCTCAATCAAAATAAATGAAATATATGGACATGTATAGTTTCAGGGCAATGGTGTCTACATTTTATCTTCACAAATGCAAGCCTAACAATGCCTAAATGAGAAGATAGAAGTTCAAACAATATACCTCAAAATTGGAAATCGTGAAATGAGTTTGAGCTTGATTCAAGGTAATACAATGATCATGTTAGCTTCCTTAAGTTCCCAGGAAGCTAATGAAATGGTTAGCTTGAGCAATGGATGGCTGGAATGGCTTGGAGAAGTCAATGTGCAATACTCTGTTTTTGGTTATGGAAGTTGATGAAGATGATGTTACAGTCGTGTAACAGGGTGAGGGATGGTTTGTATTTGATGTAAGGAAGCTTTAGGAACTAAAAGGCCAAAGAACGCACGAGGGAAATACGAGTTTGGAGTTCAAGGTCAGAAACTGTGCAACAATGGAGTTTTTGGGCAATTTCTGATTTGAGGGAGTTTGTGAGTGTTTCAGGGTCTTAATGCTCGTGTCCTAGCTCACAAATAGTGCATCTATTTATAAGCAACAAGTTTGGAAGTTTGTTGTTGATCATAATTCAAAATCACAAGTTTAAGCATAACATGTGATTTTTGAGAAATCCAAGTTTCAAAGTCTTGTGTACTTGCTAAGATAGAGTGGTTAAGCTTTAAACACACTTGCTTCTGACTTTGTAGATGGAGTGTGATCAGAGGGAACAAGTTAGAGGCTCAAGAATTGACTTTGTGCATAAAGATTGCTTTTCAAGAATGATATTCTTCACTTTCTTCCCAAAATGGCAATGTGAATTGGATAAAGCTTAAACCACTTGGATTATAGCTCAAAAGTTTGTGTAATACATCAATGATAGATAGATACACATGTTAGAAGGCATGCAAAGCAAGATTATGCAGCCTAACATTGAAATTGCATTTTTGTTCATCATGAAAATGACCTATAATTCAAGAATGAAATGTCAACTTCATGCCTTCAATTCTCCTTGCTCAAACATGTTCTAAAGGAGTTCTTGGACATTTTAGAAATCTTGTAATATGCTCTACAATCCCTCTTTGAATCACTTTTGAAAATTCCTCTTGGAACTATGTGAAAAATTTCCATGAAGTTAAGTCAAAATCCTGCCTAAACTAGGGCAAAATTATCACTAAGTGTTTAGTTTCATGAACATGACTTCATGGATTAATAACTTGAGATCCAAGCATTTATAGGAGAAGTTGTGTAAAACAATGTTTTAGATATCATGGAGATCTACAAATTTCATGGTGAAAGTTTCTTTTGAATCATCTGGCATCATGGTGAAAAATTGGCTCAAAGTTGTGAAAAAATATGAAGTTTTCAACACTTAGAAAAATTTTCAAGTTTGGAAACTTTGACTTTTCAAAATGAAATCTTGACTTTTTGATTTCTTGATGAACAAGTTTCATATTTTGACATGTTTTGATGAATTATGATCTTTGATACTTGATTTTGACCAAAACGTCAAAGTTTGACTTTTCAGTGTACATTTGACTTTTGATCAGTTGGCTGAAAATCAACTATCAATCAATTGATCTTGAGGGATGTTTTGAGTCATGCCATTAAGTCAAAATTATGCAATTGAACTCTTGAGATCATGTCTCAAACCAATTAACCATTTGCTTGGTCAAAAATCAGAAATTGCCTTTTCTCAATCAAAACCTTAATTTTGACCATTTTGCCCTTTTGATGATCTGATCAAATTTCTTGAGGAATTGTGGTCCAAACTTGATCAAATGATACATATGAGTTTATAATGTTGATATGGATAAAAAATTATGAAGTTTGACTGTAAATTGGCCACAATTGACATTTTCCCCAATACAA